GTTCATATGGAAACAAAAAAGAGCCCGCATCTCCAAGACAATCCTAAGTCAAAAGAACAAAGCTGGAGGCATCACGCTACTTGACTTCAAACTATACTACAAGGCTACAGTAACCAAAACAGCATGGTACTGGTACCAAAACAGAGATATAGACCAATGGAACAGAATAGAGTCCTCAGAAGTAATACCACACATCTACAGCCATCTGATCTTTGACAAACCTGAGAGAAACAAGAAATGGGGAAAAGATTCCCTATTTAATAAATGGTGCTGGGAAAATTGGCTAGCCATAAGTAGAAAGCTGAAACTGGATCCTTTCCTTACTCCTTATACGAAAATTAATTCAAGATGGATTAGAGACTTAAATGTTAGACCTAATACCATAAAAACCCTAGAGGAAAACCTAGGTAGTACCATTCAGGACATAGGCATAGGCAAAGACTTCATGTCTAAAACACCAAAAGCAACGGCAGCAAAAGCCAAAATTGACAAATGGGATCTCATTAAACTAAAGAGCTTCTGCACAGCAAAAGAAACCACCATCAGAGTGAACAGGCAACCTACAGAATGGGAGAAAATTTTTGCAATCTACTCATCTGACAAAGGGCTAATATCCAGAACCTACAAAGAACTCAAACAAATTTACGAGAAAAAAACAAACAACCCCATCAAAAAGTGGGCAAAGGATATGAACAGACATTTCTCAAAAGAAGACATTCATACAGCCAACAGACACATGAAAAAATGCTCATCATCACTGGCCATCAGAGAAATGCAAATCAAAACCACAATAAGATACCATCTCACACCAGTTAGAATGGCGATCATTCAAAAGTCAGGAAACAACAGGTGCTGGAGAGGATGTGGAGAAATAGGAACTCTTTTACACTGTTGGTGGGATTGTAAACTAGTTCAACCATTATGGAAAACAGTATGGCGATTCCTCAAGGATCTAGAACTAGATGTACCATATGACCCAGCCATCCCATTACTGGGTATATACCCAAAGGATTATAAATCATGCTGCTATAAAGACACATGCACACGTATGTTTATCGTGGCACTATTCACAATAGCAAAGACTTGGAATCAACCCAAATGTCCATCAGTGACAGACTGGATTAAGAAAATGTGGCACATATACACCATAGGGCGATCATTCAAAGTCAGGAAACAAAAGTCAGAAACAACAGGTATGGGAGAGGATGTGGAGAAATAGGAACTCTTTACACTGTTGGTGGGATTAAACTGTATGAATAGAAAAATATGTAGTGGAAAGGCTCATGATATCTGAATTGAAACACAGACTAGAAATGGTCTCACAGCTTGGGTAGCAGTATTTGTGGTGATTATAATCAGGCAGCAACAGTGATACATGTATACACGGTGTTATGCCGTACTGGTTCACAAAGTAAAAAGATTGAACACCACCAAATGCCCGTAACAGTGATGATTTGATCCAGCAAATGTGCGCAGGTATGGCGTCAGCGGGAATATTACGGCGTGCCGCGCATATTGAGCTTCAGTCCTCAGATTATAAATCATGCTGCTATAAAGACACATGCACACGTATGTTTATCGTGGCACTATTCACAATAGCAAAGACTTGGAATCAACCCAAATGTCCATCAGTGACAGACTGGATTAAGAAAATGTGGCACATATACACCATGGAATACTATGCAGCCATAAAAAAGGATGAGTTTGTGTCCTTTGTAGGGACATGGATGCAGCTGGAAACCATCATTCTTAGCAAACTATCACAAGAACAGAAAACCAAGCACCGCATGTTCTCACTCATAGGTGGGAACTGAACAATAAGATCACTTGGACTCGGGAAGGGGAACATCACACACAGGGGCCTATCATGGGGAGCGGGGGAGGGATTGCATTGGGAGTTATACCTGATGTAAATGACGAGTTGATGGTGCTGACGAGTTGATGGGTGCAGCACACCAACATGGCACAAGTATACATATGTAACAAACCTGCACGCTATGTACATGTACCCTAGAACTTAAAGTATAAAAAAAAAAAAAAAAAAAAGTAGGATCCAAGGCTGGGTGCAATGGCTCATGCCTGTAATCCCAGCACTTTGGGAGGACGAGGCGGGAGGATCATGAGATCAGGAGTTTGAGACCAGCCCGGCCAACATGGTGAAACCCCATCTCTATTAAAAACACAAAAAAATTAGCCAGGCGTGGTGGTGTGTGCCTGTAATCCCAGCTACTCAGGAGGCTGAGGCAGGAGAATCGCTTGAACTCGGAAGGCAGAGGTTGCAGTGAGCCGTGATCATGCCACTGCACTCCAGCCTCGGTGACAGAGTGAGACTCTGTCTCAAAAAAAAAGAGAGAGAGAAAAAAGAACTAGGATCCAAAGTAGACCTTTAGTGACCCCCACCCCAGAAGCAGCAAGTAACCAAACAAAGGTACCCTCTGGGGTCATGGGTGAGTTCTGTCTCAGATTTGAGTTCCACAAATATGTGTTTTGATCCCTCTGAATTTATTTGCAAAATGAAAAAGTCTGTGCTGGCTTCAGAAGTGGTGAAAGAAACAGGTCTGGGTCTTGTAGGGAAGGCCTCGGGTTTCTGACAGATCGGACCAAAACTGGACTGGGTTCAGGGTAGGTGGGTAAGGTTACTAGAATACAGGGAATCAAGTTTGTCTTGATTGAAGGAGACTAGAACCCCTGCATCTGGAACTTCAGCCAATTTTATGTATAAGAACTATGGACCCAGAACCTGTGCTTCTCTGGAGAACCAGTCCAGTTTCTGTAGAGTTAGGGTTTTTCTCCAACTATATAACTTTCTATATTTGCCTTTGAAGTATTTTAATTATCCATCTGGTTAAACAAATAGCTATTATTATTATTATTATTGTTATTATTATTTTTTGAGACAGATTCTCACTGTCACACAGGCTGGAGTGCAGTGGTGCAATCTTGGCTCACTGCAACCTCCACCTCCCAGGTTCAAGCGATTTTCCTGCCTCAGCCTCCCAAGTGGCTGGGACTACAGGCACATGCCACTACACCTGGCTCATTTTTTGTATTTTTAGTAGAGATGGGGTTTCATCATGTTAGCCAGGATGGTCTCGATCTCCTGACCTCGTGATCCAACCCCCTCAGACTCCCAAAGTGCTGGGATTACAGGCATGAGTCACTGTGCCCAGCCACAAATGACTACTATTTTACAGTTTACCTGTAATGTTATTTTCATCAAGTGTTTTAAACACTTGATATTTTGACAAACTTTCAAAAATCAAATTGTGAATTGTCTTTTTCTTGACTTCAAATTAACTTTGGAAGTTTTGCGATGGACCCTTAAAACATCTCAAAAGGAAATATTTCCTTATAGAAAAGAGATATGTTAAACTAATTGGGCTAATTTAATATATTAAATTATATGGGAAGCATTGTCAGATAATGAATAATGCTAAACGTTCTTTGAGTCATATTTGTATAGATGTATTATTAATGTGTGTTTCATACATTGTATAAAATTCATAGAAATCTGATAGTTCTGGTATGCAATGAGTCCTAATTCTAGATATTATCCTAAAACATTGTGTATCACAGAAATAATCAAATCTTGTCAATTGCATCATTATTACAGTAGACTGTCATTAGATCTTTAGCCATGACAATTTTAAGTATTATTATTCACAAAGAATTAATTGTTTTACTCTAGCCTTTTCCTGAATGCTATTACAAATGACTATAAATCCGACATGCTTTGTCTTCAAGGGGATTCATGGAAAGGAATCTGACAAGTACAGGTTTCTGAACTTTAAGATCATACCACTCATCTCAGTAAGAATTCTCAGAACTGTAATGAAGAAACTGATTGGTTCATACACCTGGTTGGTAGCCCAACATCAAACAGAATGAGAACTAAGTGAATATCAAGGAAATGCTTCAGAAGATTTTCATGCTACCAGCCAGTACTGAAATTGTAAACATATGCAATTTTAATGAACTTTATAAGACTGACCCAAGTCAAATTACCTATGATAAACAGTGCTATGCACCTGAATTTGAGAAATAAAACTTGTATTCGAAAGCACGTAAATCCAGTGTTAAGTGTGGACTCATAGAGAACCGAAATGGCTGACTGGCCCTTAAATCTTCCTTTATGCTCTATGACTTATCATAGGGTAGATAAAATTATACAAGTTGTGAAATAAATAGTGTGGTGGCTATTCTAAAATTGCTAAAGTGTTTTATAACCAATGTTTTGTTTCTCATACTCATAATTCCAGTAAGACAACAAAAAACTCAGGTTCTGGTACCTGCTGGATTATTAAAACACTTACAGGTGGATTTCATTCAATTGCTGTCTTTAATTCACTGGTTGTAGAGAAGCTTTCTCAGGCAGGAAGGCCAATGCTATAACAGTAGCTGAAAGGTTATTGGAAAATGTGCTTCTCTTATGGAACATTACTGAAAAAATCCCCAGTGATGGAGGTACTGGTTTCACTAGGCAAGTTGTAAGACAAACAAAATATTACAAATGCAACAACATTTGGAAAAGTCAACTGAATCAATTGGATTGCCTTGGTCAAAAGTATTATCAATTGATGGTGATCAGATCCACTCCCACTGGAAAACACAGATTGACCTTTTATAAAATAGTTACTAGAAGGCCTGTTCTCCTAATAATAGAACCTCATGTATCTCCTGCTCTTACAAACTCTGACATAACTCAATATGGCAAAGCTTTAGTACATTAAGGCAAAGTATATTTTCACCAGGTAAAAAAGAAGCCCTTCATGGCGCACCAAATGGTGACACCAGAAATTTCATGATCTAGATCCCAGAGTTTGTGTCCTTTGGAAAAGACATCAGAAAAACGTTGCCCTTAAACTCCATTCGAAGGGAAGCAAGTTCTTCTCTGGAGCAAAAGTTTAGGGCCTTGTGCTTAATAAAGCCCCTTTGGACTCTTAAAACTGTATAATCATTGGAGACCTCAAGGTAAAACTGACCATGATGTTTATTTTCAGGAGCAGACAGCATTCTAGATGTGGACGGCTTTCCCAAGATCACAGATCAAGACATCTCCTCGTCACTGTAAAACCTTTGTTCCTTTTCTTCTTTGCCCTGTGTTTCTTTTCTATTTATACATGGCGAAATCATGCAACAATTAAGATTTCATAATGTATAGCTTCTACTGGGAACTTACTTGAGTGTTGGATATGTCACATTAAACCTAAATCCTTAAATGATGTTAGAGGTTCTCTGGTTCACCCCATAACAAATTTCACTGATATTTCAAGTATGACTGTTTGTTCACATTGCGCATTTGGTACTTTCTGTAGAGTTAGGTTTTTAGATTCAGGTATTTTAGATTTCTTAATTCTTAGAGTAGGCAAAACCTAGTGAGGGTTTCTTTTATTTTGTTTTGTTTTTCTTTTTTGAGACAAAATCTCGTTCTGTCGCCCAGGCTGGAGTGCAGTGGTGCTATCTCCGCTCACGGCAAGTTCTGCCTCCTGGGTTCACGCCATTCTGCTGCCTCAGCCTCCTGAGTAGCTGGGACTACAGGCGCCACGACACCCGGCTAATTTTCTTGTATTTTTTTAGTAGAGACGGGGTTTCACCGTGTTAGCCAAGATGGTCTCGATCGCCTGACCTCGTGATCCGCCTGCCTCAGCCTCCCAAAGAGCTGGGATTACAGGCGTGAGCCACCGCGCCCTGCCCCTACTGAGGGTTTTGTAGTTAAATTATGCCATACATTGAATAAGAAAACAAACAAACAAAAAAGATAATTTAAGAGTTTGTAGACAAATTTATAACTCCAATTTCTTATCTGTTAGCCTCCAAACACATGATTGTTCAATAATGGAGCCTTTGACAAAAAATACTAGTGCTTCCCTACTGATGACCCCAACGCACAAGGCATTCCACAAAGAACTGTCTGTTGTGCCCATGTACAATTTATTTTTAATCTGTGCAGAATTTAATAATTAAGCATATGTGTTGTCAACTCTATGTCTCAGTAAGTGGAAAATAAGGGACCAATGTGGATTAAGGATTTTAACAGTACTATTGTCACTCCATAATCAATTGGTAACTGAACATTTGTTTATACCTGTTAATTTTCACTATGAAATAAAGAGAAACTTGCCAGCAGGCACAAAATCCCTTTAAATGGTCTTCTTTTGGTAGACTGCTCCTTCCTTAATATGGCATAAATGTAAATAGATTTATGATTAGAAATATATCTCAAATATTAGCTATTATAGACAACTTTACTGCAAAAGTTATAGCTGCCCACAAAGCTTCTTTAAATTCTCTTGCTGAAGTTGTTATAGATAACATGATTTCTTTGGACTATCTATTGGCTAAACAGTGGCGGAAATGTGCACAATGGCTAACTCCTTCTGCTGCACTTGGATAAATAAATCTGGTTTTGTAGAAATTCAATTGCAAGAAACCAACATACAAGCTACTTGGCTAAAGCAAGTAGATTCTTCTCCTGGCACATTTTTTTAATATACAGTTACGTATGGCTTAACCATCGGGATACATTGTGAAGAATGTGTCATTATATGATTTTGTGAACATAATAGAGTGTAGTTACACAAACATTGATGGTGTAGCCTACTGCACACTAGCCTGTATGGCATAACCTGTGGCTCCTACTCTACAAACCTGCACAGCATGATACTGTACTGAATATTGTAGGCAATTGGAATACATTGGTAAGTATTTTCATATCAAAACATATCTACACATAGAAAAAGTATAGTAAAATACAGTATTGTATGGAGCCACCATCGTATGCAGTCCATCATTGACTGAAACACTGCTACACGGTGCATGACTGTATTTGATTTTAATCAGTTTGATTTCTGGGGGCTCCTGTTAAGGAGTGTGTTTCAGTCTCTTAGTATTATCCACCTGATAGCCATCATAATATTCTCCCTGGTGCACCATATCCTCTCAAGAGTCTTAAATGCTCACATACAGCCGTCTATTATACATAACATGGCCTCACTATGGTTTGAATTAAACACACACACACAAAGAGAACATAAAGAAACATTCAACTGATCCGACATGGTAAATTCTGAATTTCATATTGTGACAAAACCAGTCCATTATCATGGGAAAGAGAGTGATGTCAATGTCCAAGATTTTGGTCAATTTCTCACAATTAAAAGACTGACAAAAAGGAGGAAACGGTTAAATTTAATTTGGCTTACAGCTGCCTCCATTTGCAACAAACAAATTGCAAATGCTCTGTTTTTTTTTTTTTTTTTTTTTGGAAACAGTTTCCCTCTGTCTCCCAGGCTGGAGTGCAGTGGTGTGTTCTCGGCTCACTGCAACCTCTGCCTCCCAGGTTCAAGTGATCCTCCTGCCTCACCCTCCTGAGTAACTGGGGTTACAGGTGCGTGCCACCACGCCCAGATAATTTTTGTATTTTTAGTAGAGATGGGGTTTCACCATGTTGGCCAGGCTTGTCTTGAAGTCCTGGCCTCAAGTTCTCTTTCTCTGCTCAGTCCCCCAAAGTGCTGGGATTACAGGCGTGAACAAACTTTGTTGAGTATATTTTCATAAGAGAAAGCTGAGTCTCAGCCAATCACAGCCTGCCAGCTGACCACGTTCAAGGCAAATGCTTCATCACGCCATGTTTAAGTAAGGCACACGCTGAGCCGTAACCAATCAAGCTGTTTCTGCATGCCACTTTTTTTGCTCTCAGCCTGCCCACATTGCTATGTGGAGCTCTCCAAACCTCTTCTGGTTCTGACTGCTGCCTGATTCATGAATTGTCCTTTGCTCAAATAAACTTTGCTAAATTTAATTTGTATAAAGATTTTCTTTTAACACAGCAAAGCCAGGGTCTCAATTAGAATCAAACATTTGCACTCTAGTCAGGGACTGACTTCAATGGCCTGCGGGTTGGCATCTCTTAAGCTGGATGAAAAAATAAAGGAGATGATTGAGACATCTCGCCTTTATTTATTTTAAAACCATGAACCAGTACTAAGAATTTATATTGTTAGTATTAAAAATGGCTAAAATTGTGGGATGAAATAGAGCAGGAGGGGACAGAGCAAAGGAGGCATACAGAACAGAAGTGATGTTTCTGTGATTCTGTGAGGGAATAGCTAAATAGAGTAAAATACACAATACTATGACCTTGGAAGTTCTGTTCTTGGAGCAGGAGAAACTCACATGTGGGTGATGGAATCATTTGGCTCATTGGCTCCTCTGACTGCCATAGACAATTAATTGCTTTCGGTTCTACCTCTGAATTCTCTCCGTTACTTCTTTTCTCCTGTTCATCTCCCCTGCCTCCAGCCTAGTTCAGCACTATGTCCTTATTGTGGTAGAGTCTGTAATAGACCCAAATCAAAGCTTCTTAAGAAATGTTCACTTCTTAGTCCTTTTTTCCCACAGTTGTCATCGTGTGCCTTCTTCACAAGCCTTCAATAGTAGGCTTACCTTCTGAATGAAGTAGTAACTCCTCACAGCTCTATTTTAGATCCTCAATAACATTGCTAACATAATTTTTGCCTTTTCTCTTGCTATTCATATGCTTATTTTTGTGCTCCTAATTAAACATGACTAATGCCACTATTATTATTATCATCACTAACATTTATTGGTACTATTACTTATCTCTGATGCTACCACCACTGCTGCAATGCCACTATGTATCCTAATGGTGAACATTTATTGAATGGTTAATATGTGCCAAGTACAGTGCTTAGGCATTTTCATTCAATCCAATTGTCAAATAATCACTGATCACCTGCAGTGCGCTCTGTGCTACAGTGGTTAGCACAATAAAATAGACAGGGATTAGCCCCTCACGTTCACGAGCTCACAGCTCCATACTTCTTATGTACATTAATCCTTTCCATAAACTTCTGCAGGTAGGTATGCTTGTAATCAACATTATTTTGCAGATGAGAAAACTGAGGCTGAATTTACATAACTCACGCAAGGACTTAAGGATAAGAGGTGAAGCTTCCAGATCTCTCTGGCTGCAGACCCTCATGCCATCTACTCTGCCCTTCTCAACATTGTTCCTTCACCTTTCCCTTCATACCCACTCTTTGGCCACAGATCTTTGGGGGTAGGGATAGTGTCATATTCTTCTGTGTACAATGAGTAGCATCTTTAAAGCTTAATACATGTTTTGTGGTTAAATGAAATAGAAAAAAAAGCCTAGTAACATCAGCCCCTAAGGACCTCAATTACTTGTCAGGTTGCTTTGTACTGAGGAAGAGCCTCTCCAGGAGTGATCAATGTCTCCTCACTGTTTAAAACAGAGGACAATCTGCCTCACCCACAGCGTCTAGTAAAATATTTCATTGATTCATCTGTTCCTGTGCCAGAGAAGCAAGATTAATATTCATTTTAAATTCAACTGATGAGATAGTGTTACCAAATCTCATGTTTATTCTTTTTCCAAATGTGCACTACTGCACTCTACTAATGTTCCATCATGTCCTGCCATAATGCATTAAGGGCAAGATTGGTGACATTTGCTTGGAATCAGACACCTGTTATCAATTTGGAGAGTGGCTTATATATCCTGCTTCAAAATGTCCAGGGGGCCAATGGAGATGAATGAGGCTTTGTTAATGTCCCTGCTGCTTATGATACAGCTTCTCTTTACTTAGAAAACCATGGAGAAATACTCTGCTAAATATAGTCTTAACACAATCATCATGGAAAGAATCATCTTTAACACAGTCTGAGTTCTCTCATTGTCACCTCTCATAGCACTTTCGCGACACTTCCTTTCATCTTGCAGCCTGGCTATCGTAGAAATCCCAGTCTCCCCAGTTAAGAGACAGAGAGGCTGAGGATGAGTTCTAACAGTATCAAGTAACACACAAAAGTCAATGATAATTCCAGAGCATTCCAAGAATGCAAAAATGTGGGGCAGAATGTGAATTAACCATTCAACAAATATGTATTGAGTATTTCCTGACCAGGAGCAATCTTCTGTGCCGAAAGATTTCTTCTGCCTTCAGGGGCCCTGCAGTCTATGGGGAAAGTCAGACTAGCAGTCAGCTTCCAATATGCTGTGGTAAGTCTTCTGATAAGGAGCACCCCACACTATAGAGGTGCCCAGAAGAGGTACT